CAATTAGACTTCAATGACAGTTTAGTAAATAATAGAATTACCTTTCTTATGACATATCATATTCTGGATGTTTGAAGAATAAGTCATTCTACTCACCAAATTCGTGTTAGTTTTCAAACCTGATTTAGCAGTTTCTTTTTGCCTGTTGGATATAACAATAACATGAAATAAGTCCAAGCTCAAAAATGCAACTGCATTTTAAAATATGGTGCACTTTACCTTTGTGCTTTTGTAATGGTTTGTTTGTTTTTTTTTTTAGTTCTACACTGCCAGGGAGGCACCGAGACCATGACACAACTGTGTGTCTCTGTCATGCCACATGTTTTTGTCATGGTCTGTGGCCCTATATCTGAGGAGTGTGTGGGCTGCCCTGGTGGCCACACCCCCCGGCTGGGCCATCACCTGCACACCTGCTTTCCATTCTGGGCAATTACCTGGAGGACTATTTAACCCACGCTGACGGATGCTCCACGCCAGTCTTTTAATCACCCCTCAGGGGTAACTAGGCTTCCCGCAAAAGCTTTGTACATATGTGTCATTTGAACTGCGTTAATTCTGCCTTCATGTGCTCCTGCTTGTGAGCAGTGCATCATCTGTCCTCATCCTTGCCTCCTCGGATTCGCTTCCCACGGACACACTCCCCCCCCCCCCCTTCCAAGTCCCACTGTCCCGCTCTGATCGTAAGCCAATTACTAAAGCCCTGTCTTGTTGTGTCTCCCTATTTCCCAGCTCACTAGTAATTTTCTCCCCTTTCTGTTGCAGCCTCCCATGGTCCTGATTATGGCTTCCCTGTGTCATTTATCTTCCCGTTTTTTCTTCAGTTCCTCGTTTTGTTTCTTTGGTTGTTCCGGGTCACCTTTTGTTAAAGCAATAAACTGTTTTCTTGCTCGCATTTGACTTATTGAGTCTACTTTTGGATCCCGTTTGTGTGCGCACACTGTGGTGCATGACAGTTTTATTGTTGTTGTGCGCTCTCTCTCCCCCTCTCCTCTGTCTGGGTGGAGCTCATCTTAGGCTCCCGCCTCTGACCCACGCACCTGATTACAAAAACTCCCGCTGATCTACCTGATTTCATGAACACTACTTAAGATGGCAGTTCAATACTTCTCATCGGGCTTAAGCCGCTTTGAAAACTAACCCTGAGATATGTTTTTGTGAATCTCTATCCAAATTTAAGACTGTTTGGTAAAGGCATCAGCGCAGTGCTGAAACATTTCTGACAAAGATATAAAAAAATAGGAAACACTTTTTTTTTTTATTGTTTCCGGATGGAAACACTTTTTCATACAACTGTGTAGGGTTAAAAATATAGCTTACATACCCCCATTAGTATTATATTATAGCCAGTTTTTTGCTTGATTACATACTTTTGGAAGCTGTAAACAAGCTCCTGATATCAATCTGATGAGATATTTGACCACTCTTCTTGGTGGTAGTATAGGTAATTTTAATTAGCTGGCTTCCTGGCACAGAACTGTCAACAGATTTTCAATCTGTTGGGGCTGCGGGAAGGAACTTTATTTGTCTCAATATGTCACAACTTTGCTAAGATCTGAATGATGTCAGAGGATATTGGTTAGGATGTTCAGTTAAAAAAAACCCACAACCACCAAGGTTCAAGCCTGTCATGAACTGGAAACTGCTGGGACACAAAGCACCATTGTCTACAGTGAACTACAATTTTACATTTAGTTTAAAATACACACTTTCATGCTTGACTAAAATTTGCAGCTGGGCACATGAACAAAAAACTCCTGGAAAAAATTTCATGGTCAGACAAAATAAAGATTGAGCTATTAGGCCATAAAGATAAGTGATGTGTTTAGAAAAGCCGTGGTGAGACTTTTAAATCTAAGAACACTGTGCCAACTGACAAGCATGGTGGTAATAAAATTATGCTCTGGTGCTGTTTTGCAACCGGCGGTAATGGTTGAAAAACGTCAATTCAGAGCTATAATTGAATTGAATATTGAGACTGACATGTTGAGCTCCAGAGGAATTTGCAAACATTTTTACACATCATAACTAATATAAGTCAGGGTAATATTTTTCTGGGCCAACAGACTCTGAACAGAATGTCCCAGACTTCGGTTATAAGTAGAAAACAACTGGCTAGGAATTGCTGGATAATGTTAATACAGCAAGGTTAGGGACGGAGGTTTTTTTTTTTCAGGAAAGGAGCAGGAAATGCAAGATGAGATCAGACGTGGATGCAGTGCAGAAGTTCCACTTGGGAGAAAGCAGGACTGGCCACATCATTTCCCATAACAGGATAGTCATAATAATAATACTTGTTTTTGTTGTGGTATAAAACCACTTACAGGATATTACCCGCTTAAGGGGTCCTTTTCGTAAAGCAGACCGCTGGTTCACATCGAGGTGCAGTGCCGTAACTTGTAATTTCAACTTCTAAAATGAATTAAATATTTTAAAAGGTAGTCAGGGGCGCCCATTTAGCTCAGTGGAATGTGTACCATATCGCATGGCATTTAGTGCTCAGAGCTTGTTTCTCTGCTGCCATTATTAATTTCTCTGTGCTGTCTTTCAGTTCAGCTTTGTCTAGCCCCTGGTAGGATTTCTGGATATCAGCCACTTCTTTTACCTGACGGTGCTACATACTATGCAGGGGCCTGTTGTCCCATGATATTTCCTCTTCTTGCTCCTCTTCTTTCTTGGATTTCTGCTGCCTGAGGTATTTACTAACCAAACTAAGTTTGGTCTTGGCCATCTTGCTAATGTTCTCATGGATGTTTGTTGTTTCATCCTGGACAGTGGTTTTGACACCCACTAGTCCTCAGCCTTCTTCCTTTTGCTTACAGCGTACAGTCTCAGGGAGCTGGATATATGCAAGGTGATGAGCTTCCTTTTTTTTAATATCAGTGGCTTCTATATCTTCCTTTGGCCATCTTATTATCCCATCGGGTCTCTCTTCACCAGCAGGGCATGGGTGTTGATTGCCCGGATTAGTGATGTGCGGATCGATACTGAAATATAAATTCCTCCAATACCAGTCATTTATGTTCTAGAATCAATTCTCATATTAAAATATCAATATTTTAGTGATTAAGGTAAATTTGTAGTTTATCATTAACAGGAACAGAGTGGAAAGAAACTACATCATTTGGATTGTCTACATTGGAAGGAACTACTTCCTCCTCCGCCTTTCATAGTCATGTGCAAAATACAGCTGCATAAATGTGTCGCAACCCCTTGGTGTGCGCATTCACAACAATGGCTGGGCATAAATGGAGTCATGTGCAGACGTATTTTACCTCCACAAACAGCCAAGACACGGTTTGCGATACATGTGGCAAGACAGTGAGGTGTTGTGGCAACACCACAAACCTCGTCAAATACCTCACTGTAAATCATATCTCAGAATATGACGAACGTATGTTGAGGCGAACTGAAGAAGAGGAGAGGGGTAGGTGCTGCTAGGGCGAGACAGACGTCTCTCGCGGAGTCCTTTAGTGCTGCAGTCAGGCAACATGCTCAAATGGCAAACAACTTCAGTTTTTTTATTTCTATATGATAATTCTGCATTATTAAGTGATAAGAATAAGTAATCTGATGTCCTGTAATCATTATGAAGCTATAATTTGAGATACAATAAAAGATACAGTAAAAAAAAATAAGTTTTTGTACAAAATATCGGTATCGGAACAGTATCATCGATACCACCTTGAATTTTACTTTTTATCGGATCGGAAAGGAAATCAGTGGTATCGCACATCACTAGCCCACATCTTGTTTTTCCCATTCTGCTGCCTTCTCAGGCTTGCCTTAATCTCTGCAGGTATTTGGCTCTCGGATAAGACAGATGCATCTTTTGCCCTCTCCCTCCCTTATCTTCCCTGCTGCTGCTTCTATGTCTTTGTCTAGTCTCGTCTAACTCTAACCCTTAAAGAGTCTCTCAGTCTTGTTCATAAACTTAAAGAATTACAGATTTGATCAACTGCTCCCGTAACAAAATTAACACCTTCCTGGGCTTGGGAGAGCCCGATTGTCCTTCGGAGACGTTTGCTGCCAGATACTCGATGGTTGGTTGCGTCGTGTGACAGTCTCGATGGAGGACATTGAACAAGATCTACCAATTCGGAACCACGATAACCGAGTTCTCGCTGATTGGAGCTGGCTCGGACCTGGCTTACTGAAGAACAAGAAGCAGCTACAGCTGTTCAAAATCCCACAAGGTTGGCTGACATGATAGATGATGGGCAGGGCTGTGAATAAGACTGTGTTATTGAATGCAATATGGATAACATCTCGGAGAAGGAGGAGAACGGGAATTGAGAGAATTGAGAGAATTGGTGACCAGTGATGGACATCAGACCAACTGTAAAAACTGGATGCAGTTGTTCGCACTAAACCCAAACATTCACCATCTTCACTCCTGCGGCTATCCCACTGGCGCCAGCTGAAGGCCTGCCAAGGTCAAAGCTGACTGGAACAACAAAAATTCTTCCATGAAAAATAGGACTGTTGTGAGAACTCTTTGTCCCTCCTTCAAGGCCACCTGGGTCCAATGGAGACTGTTGACCTTCGCTTAACCGGGCATGGTGACACTTTCTCTCAACTGAACACGGGATACACACACGCACAAAACATGTACACTGATACTGATACACACTATCACACTCCCTCCCCCAAATCCAACGCCTACTCCCATGCTTGCCTCCAGTGTAGCTTGCCGTCACCAGTGTGTGAATGGGTGGATGACTGAATGTAGTGTAAAGCGCTTTGGGGTCCATAGGGACTAAGTAAAGCGCTATACAAATACAGGCAATTTACCATTTACATATCTGTGCATTCCAGATTATCCTTTTGTATTACACATTTCGATGTTTTTTTTTCCACTTTCCACCTAGCCTGACCTGTCTCCCCAATGTGATGTTTGTGTATTGTATGTACGGTCGGCAAGGTCTGTCATCTCAGTTGCGGGCAACTGCAACTGACAAAGGCCATCTCATCTCTCATCATCTTGTTTCTATTTCTCTTTTTTTCTATTTCTCCCATATGCTCTTCCAGTACTGCTCCGTCTCCAGCCTTGGTGAAGATGTTTTCTTATCACTCTCTCACCAGTGAGCGTATATGTTGGTTCTGTGGAGTACAGATGGCTGATTCTCCTGCTTTCTATATGTCTGATATACCTTTTCGGCTGGCCGAGGCTGTGAGTCTTTACCTGGCATTTTCCAAGGCCTCAGTTATGGGCAGCTTGCTAACTTCTTAGACATCCCTTTCTACAACATCCCTTTCTGGAGCTTCAATAGATGGCTTTCCTCTGTGCTACCTTGATCTTAGCCTCTAGTGTCTTTCTCCATGGAGGCCATTGCTCCTTTGGCTGTTTATTTTGTAGCAGCGCATTCTCCGTGTTCGCTGTTGCTGTGGTACAGATCAGTGAGTTGGTTTCGGTTATGGTTGCAGTCATTCTCATAGACCTTCAGAGGGTACTTCACGTAACCTTGATAACCGGCTACATAGGGTCCAGGTTTCTATCTCCACAATGATCCCATCTTTCACATCAGCTGCTCTCGGACTCAACACCCTCACTGCAACAGTTGTACTTTGGCAAGATACTCAACCCCGTCTGTCGGCATAATAGCAGTGTTGGAACACACTGTGGTACTATACTCTTGTGAGCATCAGTTGAACAGTATTGTATTGGGGGCGATCGTGGCTCAAGAGTTGGGAGTT